CAGGGCCCAAGCTGGGCAACACCAGAAGTCAGTGCGCAGGGGAGGGAGAAGGGGGAAGGGCATGGGGGGCTGACACGGTAATGAGATTATCAACAGACATTTTCAGGGAAACAAAATGCAAGCAAATATTTCATAAACTAAGTTAGGAAGAGACAACGTAAGTATTGCAAACAGATCATTTCTGTTTCCTTCCATTAGCATGGAACATAGGGTGGCAGGAAAGATCTAAGAAACAGTCTCAGCACATGCAGAAAAAGGAATTAACATCTGTCAGTGAGTGAGATGACCTTTCAAGCTGGAGATCAGGACAGAAGTCTCAGAGACAGACACTGGAAAATTACTGGAGGCCTCCTTCCCACACATAAATAAAAGCCCTCCCTCACCCTATCAAAGGGAAGCACCTGGGAGCCCATGGTCCACTGTGCTCCCCACTTTCCTCTGAGGAGCTTCCTCCGTGATTCCCCATAATCAATCCTAGATGCACCCCTCCCCACTGCCAGTCAGATGCCTTCATCCCAGGGCCACCATAGTTCCAGGAAGGCTTTACGAGCCCAGCGGCCCAGCCATGGTCTCCTGGGGACCTGCCTGGGCTCTGAGAAGGGGAGAGTTTCTTTCCCCTTCTGGGTTGACAGCCATGTACAGTGGCCGTCTTTCTTGCCTAAGGAGTGTGTCTAGCAGAGAATGAAGTAGAAACTCCGGGGAAGGAGGAGCCGAGCGATGGACAAGGTGCCAGAGCCTCTCCAGGAGGCACCATGGTGGTGAGCGCTGGGCCCTGAAGCCAGATTTGGACTCTGTGGCTCCACAACCTCAGCTGTACACGCGGTGACAACTGCTCCTGTCTTATAAGATAGTTGCGAGGATTAAATGAGTCAGTTTTTGATGACCGTGTCTGGCTTATAGTGTGTGTCTTACAAGGAAGAGACCCAGTACTCTCCCTCTGACCTGGAACTAGCATGAACTAGGTCTCAGCCACGTGCAGCTTAAAAAGTCCTGACTAGGACAAATAGTCTGACAAAGTTGTTAAAAGAGGCCCAAAAAGCCTGTTTATTGTATTTTTTTAGGTCAAAAACCATTTATTACTTTATCCCCTGATCACACGGGCATGTGCCTTGTCTCCCCAAGGAGATCATAAATCCCAGCACCTCTTTAATATTTCTTTACTTCTGACATCATTCTTAGCATGGCATCTAGCCAGAGTAGGTGTGTGATAAAAATCGCGTTATATTTGAACAACCTCTAACGGTTTGGAAAGAGCTATACCATTCATGATCCCATGTGATGTTCAGAATGCCCCTGCGGGCTAAGTGGGCAGATGCCACCCCTAGAACACATGTGAATCGGACTCTCCAGCCCCAGTCCAGGTGCAGGGCAGGCCATGTTGTGTTGTTCTTATCAGTCAGATAATCAGTCTCAGTTCCCAGGAAGGCGGTGCCCCCACACCAGGCCAGCTCGGGCACAGGGCAGCTCTCCCGGCTCCAAACCCGCAGCGTAAGTCCCATGTGCTCAGTGCATAGACCAGCCAGCACAAGTCCTCCTGCCTCTCTGAGACACCTGAGCTCTCTTGGGATCTGCAAAACGCCCTCTTCCCCTCCTCGGGGCTAGAAAAGTTTTGCTGAACTTCCTGTCTCCCTCCTCCTGAGCCCCAGCTCTCCAGGAAGACCTGAACTGTCACCTCTTGACCCTCAGTTTTTGAAAGCAAAAGTCTGGTTAGGGAGATTGACTTCTGCATGTCTGGGAACTTTGGACAGGATCCTGCAACTCAAAAGTCCCCAAGGCAAGAGACAAACACTTCAAAAAATTTTTAAAAAGACAGCTACTTTTTAAGGGAGGTGAGGGGAAACAGTTAAAGCAGGGAATTTAGTGTCAGAAATTCTCTCAGTAAATGACCCTGCCACATGGAAATGAGGTGGTTTCATGAGGTTTGAAGACTGCTTGGGGCCACAACACCAGGCAAGTCAGGTCTCTGATTCCTGCTGTGCACCTTTCTCACTTTTCCACGGCTGTTCAAATATCGTAGGTGAATAGGCCAAACTTATTTCAAACAGGGAGAGAGATCTACAAGAGGCCCAAGTTCAAGCTGTTGAAAGTTGCAGGGCAGCCAATGGGGAGTGGAGGCGACATGCTTTTTTTTCTCTAGGCCTCCCCCTAAGCACAACTAACAGTTTTGCACGTTATACAGAACAAAGCAAGGAGGCCCTGAAAGGTGGAGAGAACAAAGCAGGCGGGTCAGGGCCCCAAGGGACTTCACTGTGCTGAGGGCCCTGGGTTTCTCTCTGACTCGGGTATTCCCAAACGTTCAGTTGAAGAAACCTACACCCTGGAAATGCTAACGGGTGCAAACAAAACAAATTCCAGCAAGACTCCTCTCTGAGCCAAAGGAACAGAAAAGAAAACCCAGCAATGTAGAAAAGTTTTAGACAATTACTGCTCTCTCCAGTCAAATGCCACATAATAAACTGTGGCCCCACTCTACCCAAGCCATAAAGATGAGTGGGGAGCCTAGATTTCCACCCTTCTCATGCTGTAATGAGGCACCCATACCTGCCCCTGTGCCCAGCCACAACATTATCAGAAAAGGGCAAATACTGAGGCTGGAATCCACCCCACAGGGCAGTAATGAGGAGCCCCTTCCTTCCTCAAGGGTGGTGGCAGAGGAGACCCAGTAGAATGAAGACTGTTACCACCACCCAGTGCTAACAAGGACACTACACTCCCCCCAGACATGGTGCCAGCAGCGATCATGTGGGGAGCAATAATGAGGTCTCCTACCACTCTCAGCCAGGAAGGCGTGCGTGGTGGCTGGAACCCTAACCCTTCCTAGCTGTAACAGGGAGCCCCTCTTTTGGACATGAAGAAGTGCTGAGCAGGAACCTAAACTTCTACCCTCACCTGGCAGTGCTCCTCCCACTTCCCCTTGCTGAGTGATGTCAAATCATTCATCACCCAAGAACAAAGAAAAATCAGTCAAAAATCAAAAGCCAAGAACAATCTAAATGAAAAAAAAAAGCGATCAGCAGATAACAACATCAAGCTGTCACAATTACCTAACAAAGGTTTAAAAGAAGCCATCACAAAAATGCTCAGTGCAATTAGGAAATATGGGAAATCCCAATTAGAGCAAGTGGAAAATCTGGAAATTCTCAACAAAGAAATAGAAGCTATAGAGAAGAATAAAATGGAAACTGTAGTAATGAAAACTACACTAGCCAAAATGAAAAATTCATCAAATGGGCTCAACAGCAGAATGGAGGGGAGAAAATAAATAATCAATTAACTGGAATATAGAACAACAGAAATTACCCAGTCTGAAATAGGCTATACAAAAAAATGAACAGAGCCTAAGGGTCCTGTGGGACTATAACAAAAGATCTAACAGAAGATCTAACAGTTACAGTTGGGGGAGTTGAAAAGAGTACTTAAAGAAATAATTACTAAAAACTCTCCAAATTTGATAAAATACATAAACTTACAGATTCAAGAAGTTGAACAACTTTGTGAAGGATAAATCCAAAGAAATCTACAATAAGATACACCATAGTAAAACTTCTGAAAACCAAGGATAAGGATGAGACCTTGAGGGCAGTGAGAGAGACATGACATCTTATCTGAAGAAGAAAAGTAACTCAAATTACATAAGATTTCTCATCAAAAACAACAGAGGCCAGAAAGAATTAGCACAACATTTAATTTGCTGAAAGAAAAAGAACTGCCAATTCAGTTTCCGATATCCAGAAAAAATATCCAGGAGTAAAAGGGAAATCAAGACATTCTCAGATGAAGAAAAACTAAAATAATTTGTCACCAGTGATATATCCTAAAAGAATGGCTAAAAGAAGTCCTCTAAACATAAAGAAAATGGTAAAAGTAGGAAAGTTTGTATATTAAGAACACTATACTAAGTAAAAATATGAGTAAATAAAATAGACTTTCCTTCTGCTTTTGAGTTTTCCAAATTGTGTTTGATGGTTAAAGCAAAAAATTATAATTATGTCTGATGTGCTTCTAGATATATATAAATATTTAAGACAATTATATTACAAAACAAAGGAGGGTAAAGAGATATAAAAGGAGATAAAGTTTCTATATGGCAGTCAAATTTATAAAACTATGACACCAGTAGACTGATAAGCCATGTATATGTAATAAAATGCCTAGGGAAACCACTAAAAAAGTTTACAAAGGATATATTCAAAAAAGCAATTAGATAAATCAAGATGGAATTCTAGAAAATGCTTAAGTAACTCCCAGAAAGGCAGAAAAATAAAAAGAAAACATGGAAATGAAAAACAGAGAACACAGGGGAAACAAAACAAAAAAAATCGCAATGCATACTTAAGCCCAACATGTCAACACTTACATTAAATATAAATGGACTCCACCAATTCAAAAACAGATTGGTGGAGTGGATTAAAAACATGTCCCAACTATATACTGTCTACAAGAAATTCACTTCTAATATAATGATACAGGCAGCTTGAAAGTAAAAAGATGGAAATGATAATGTCATGCAAACATTAATCGAACAAATGAGAGATGGCTATATTAATACCAGATAAAGTAGACTTCAAGCAAAGAAAGTTACCAGAGATGGAAAGGGACATTACATAATAATTAAAGGACCAATCCACCATGAAGACATAGCAATCCTAAATCTGTATGAACCAAACAACAAAACCACAAAATATGTGAAGCAAAACTGATAGAACTGAAAGGAGAAATAAATAAACCCACAATAACAGTTGGACACTTCAAAACCTCTCTCAATAGTTGTTGGAACAACTAGACAATTAGCAAGGATATAGAAGAACTCATATAGAACTGAATATAAAGTAGGTTATTTGAATAGCCCATAAAAGAAATCAAATTCATAATTTCAAAATCCAAAATAAAGAACTTTCCAGGCCCAGGTGGTTCAGGATGAAATAGTTCCAAACTCACTTTATTTACCTATTATTACCTTGATACCAGACAAAGAAAGTATAAAAAAAGGAAACTACAGACCAATATCCCTCATAAATTTAGATGCAAAAATCTTTTAACAAAACATTAGCAAATAGAATTCAACAATATGTTTTAAAACATATGCACTATGTCAAAGTGGGTTTACCCCAGGCATGCAAGTCTGGCTCAATACTTTAAATTCAGTCAATGTAGTACACCACATTAACAGACTAAATAAGAAAAATCACATGATCATGCCAATTGATGTGGAAAAAGCACCTAGCAGAATTCAACATCCATTTGTGATTTTAAAAACTACCAGAAACATAGGAATAGAGGGCAACTTCCTCAACTTGATAAAGAACTTCTGTAAGAAACCTATAGCTAACATTATAACTAATGGTTAAAGATTTAAAGCTTTCCCCTTAAGATCAAGAATAATATAAAGATGTTTGCTTTCACCACTGTTATTCAACATAGTTCTGGAAATTCTAGCCAGTGTGGTAAGTCAAAGGAAATAAAAGGCATGCAGATTGGAAAGGAAAAATAAAACTGTCCCCATTTACAGAAAACATAATTGTCTTCATAGGAAATCCCAAGGCATCAACAAAAACATTCCCAAAACAGTGAGTTCAGCAAGGTTGCAGGGTCTAAGATAAACATACAAACGTAAATTTTATTTCTCTATTTTACCAATGAACATATGGACACCAAAATTAAAAATATTATATCATTTACAGTTGTTCTAACCAAAGTAAACATTTAGGTGTAAATCTAACAAAAATATGTACAGAGCTTGTATATGGAAAACTACAAAATGCTGATGAAAAAATCAAACAAGATATTTTAAAATGGAGAGATACATCATGTTCATGGACTGGAACACTTATAATAAAGATGTTACTTATTACCATGTTATACAAATTTGAGGCAATTCTTATTCATATTCTAGCAAGAATTTTTGTAGGCATAAACAAAATTAGTCTAAAAATTTTAGAAAGGCAGAGGAATTACACCAGTTAAAATATTATGAAAGAAAAAAGTTGGTCTATGTAATTTCAAGAATAATTATAGCTATAGTAATCAGTATTGTTTGTTATTGGCAAAGGGACAGACACAGAGATCAATGGAACAGAGAGAAAATCTGGAATTATACCCACATAAATATGTCCAACTGATTTTTGATGTAGATACAAAGCACTTCAGTAGAGGAAGAATAGTTTTTTCAAAAAATGATGCTGAAACAATGAGACACCCATAGGCAGAAAAAAAAACTCTAAGTCTCATGCCTTATGCAAAAATTAACTCAAAATGAATCATGGATTTAAAGGTAAAACAACAAATCATTTAGGAAAGAAAACAGGAGAAAATCTTTGGGATCTAGGTTCAGGCAAAGAGTTCTTAAACACCAAAACAATGCATAAAATAAAAATAATAAATTGGACTACATCAAAATGAAAAACTTTGATTCTGAGAAAGACCGTATTTAAAAGATGTAAAGACAAGTTACCAACTGGGAGAAAATACTTATAAACCTCATCTCCAACAAAAACTAGTATCAAGTATAGAAAGAGCTCTCAAAACTCAACAGCGAAAAAAATCAAACAAACCAATTAGAAAATGGGCAAAAGACATGAACAGGCATTTCACTGAAAAAGACATATAGATAGCAAATAAGCACATAAACAGAAGTTTAGCATCATTAACCATTAGAGAAATGCAAAGTAAAATCACAATTAGGTGGCATAAACACTTACCAGAATGGTTAAAATAAAAAATAATGCAACACCAAACTGGAGGATGCAGATTAACTGGATTGCTAGCACATTGCTGGTGGAAATATGAAAGGTACAGCCACTCTAGAAAACAGTCTGACAGTTTCTTTAAAAAAGACTGACCATGCAACTATCATTTGACCCAGTAACTGTACTCCTGGACCTTTATCCCAGAGAAATAAGAACTGACATTCATACAAAATTCTATATGCAAATGTTTACTGCAGTTTTACTTATAATACTGCAGACAACCCAGATGTCCCGTAACAAGCGAATCATTAATCACACTGTGGTCCATCCACACCATGGAACACTATTTGGCAATAAAAAGGAAGGACCTAGTAAGGCATGCAACAACCTGGTGGATCTCCAGAGAGTTGTATATGGTGTGATTTCATTCATGTAACATTCTTGAAATGACAAAATTAGTCAAATAGAGAACAGGTTTGTGATTATCAGAGGTTAGGGAGAGGATGGGATGGACAGAGAGAGGGTGTGGCTATAAAAGGGCATGAAGGATGCTTCCAGGATGGGATGTTCTGTATCTGGGCTGTAACAGTATCAACATCCTGGCTGTGTATGGCTCTACAGTTTTGTAACATGTTACCACTGGGGGAAAATAGGTAAACAACTGCATGGGAACCTGTGATTATCTCAAAATGCAAAGGTTAGCTTCTTTAAATCACAGGACAGTCCTCAATGAGGCCTGTCTGGATGAAGTGACCTTGGACCAAAACTGCGGCAGAAAGTAGACATCACGCAGAGTGTGGGGAGTGAGACATGGGTGGAGGAGCTTCCAGCAGGAACAGGAGGACATGGGACCAGACAACCCGGCTGCAAGGCAAGGGAGCCTTTGGGACCATCCTTTGTCAACTGTCAACCTGAGAAGGTGCAGAGGGACGGGGTGATGCTCTTTCTCCTTCCTAGAAGTGTGTGTGTGCGCATGCACGCGCGCATGCACACACACCCAGGCATCCAGACAGACAGTGACGGTGCGGTGGGGTGGCAGCCCCATCACTATCCATCTGTGGTGTTGTGCTGGTCCTGACCACTCAAAGCCTCAGTCTTCATCAGTAGAATGGGAATAAAAAGAGTACCATTGTGATGGCTGAATAAGATGGGTAGTTAAGGTGCTGGGAGATGGGAAGAGAGGGAGGCTCATATGTATGTCACATTTTCTTCCCCATCTTGAGACCGTGACCTGACCCTCCCCCCATTGTTTTCCCCACTTACCTTCTCCCTAAATGGCTTTACCCCTCTTTGCTTCCTATGATGAACTGCTCTGTTGGGTGTTCTGCAAGGAAAAAAATGGGTAGAGAAATGTACCAAGGAATTCCTAGTTCACCAACCTTGGAGCAACAATATTTCAATATTAAATATTAAGGCATCAATTTGATTGTTGAAAGGTACAAACTTCCAGTTATAAGATAAATAAGTCCTGGGATGTAATGATCTAGTTATCAATACTGCATTGGGTATTTGGCAGTTGCTAAGAGAAATCTTAAAAGTTCTCATCACAAGAGAAAAAGCTTATAACTCTGTGAGGTTGTTTCCGGGCAGCTGCGTCTGGGGGGCCGTCCCTGCGCACCAGGTGAAACCTCAGCCCGGAAGGGGAGGGTCCCTGCCTCTGAGCGAGAGCCCTCTCAAGCAGGTCGGACAAGTGCAGGTGACAAAGGAATCCATTAAAGCAGGAGTAGGAGGGAATGGCAGCCTCCCGCCAGCAGCAGAGAGCACAGGGAGGGAAGGCAAGGGAATTAACTCCCGCTCCTCAGCGTGGGGCAAATCCCTTGCCAACTCCTAAAACCAGGGCCACCTGGCATCCGGTGACTCTATCTGCACAGCGTGGGAACTGAGTCCCTGCCACCCCAGGATTTGGGGGAGCCACAGAGCGCTGGATGGAGTGAGAATTGTGTCCTGAGAACTTCCCAAAGGCAAAGAAAGGAGATTTTCAGGCAGGCTGCTAAAGGGCACGAGAGTACAGCTAGCTCCTCCATACTTGTCTGCGGTAGGAGAGAGTCAGAGGGAGACTTGTGCTTATCCGGAGAGCAGAGGAAAGAGCAAAGTGACAAAGACACCGCTGAAGAGCGCGGAAGCAAAAAGTAGTAAACTGAGCAGCGGGAAGTTCTCATTTAGGCAAAAAGCACACGCTCGAAGAAAGAGGAGTGGGGAGGTGTGCTCACGGGTTTGGGGTTTTATAGGGCCTTTTGGGTAAGGGTCAGCATAAGGCACGATGCATGCAGGTGATTCATAATTCCTGTGAAGTTTTGTCTTCAGAACAGGGTTGTTTAGATAGGCTCATTTACACTTGGGAGGTCTGTCTCCTGTCCTTGTTACAAAGTTACTTAATAGATTTAGGGGCTGGAAGAAGAGGAAGAACCCCCTATAGATTAAAGAATAAACTGGGCCTTTCTCCCAGGCTAAGTAGATTTTTACAATGGCATGACCCTTGTCCCACTTCCTTGCCCTGCCTAGAGGTGACGGATGTTAACTAGCCTTATAGTGGTGATCACTTTGCATTGTACACAAATATCAAATTATTATGTTGTATGCCTTGGACTAATAAAATGTTATATGTCAATTACATCTCAATAAATTGGAAAAAGTATTAAGACTCCTTATTTTTCACTGTCACACAATACATCTGAATTTACAGATTCACTGTGTTTTCCTCACTAGTCTCTGGACCCAGAGGACCGGGAGGTTCTGCCTGGTTCTCCCTGCTCCCCAGCACCTAGCAGAGGCCTGCCTCCTACACAGCTCTCCAATATTTTGTTGGGTGATTGAAGTCACAGACACTTCACATCACAGTTCAAATCATAAATTATTGTTTTCTGCCTATACTAGAGGCATGACATATTCTCTTTGACCTATAACTACATTTATTCCATGCACTTATATTAATTTTTTAAATTAAAAAGCACTTTGTCAGTGGCTTACCTACAGCTTAGGTGCAAACACATGTCAAGGAGCCCTTCTGCCATGCGGTGCACTTACTCTGCAGCTAATAAAGGAAAGAAGGCCCTGCCCTACATAGGACAGAATTTTATTTCTGCGGACATGTGAAAACTCCCAAACCACAAAAGATGATTCGTCTCTGTTTTATGCTATGAGAAGAAGGGTTTAAAAATAGGCATGATGCAATCATATGTGTAATACTATCACCAATGTAATTATTACTGCAGCAAACAGGAAACAGATGAGGTTACTACAGGTCAGTCTGCTCCTTCCTGGGTTCCTGGCTAAAGGGTTACTGGCATAAAGTAGCACCCACTACCTGTTTGTATGCAGATCAGCCAAGTATGAAATCTATTTATTGCCCGCTTTTGGTCAGATGATAGATTTTGCATTTGTAAACATGGAATTAATTTTGTTATAACACACACTGAAAACAATTATAGCACAAACTGAAATTCACCAGGAGCCACAGTGTAAGAGTTAAAGGTAAATGGAGTATTTCCTAGTGGAAGGTCTAGAATAACTTAAATGACATCATATATCATGATAGCTCTAGCCAAAGACTGTTGCTCCCAAGTGAGCTGGTGTAGCTTCCAAGACCTCAGAGATGAGGGGGACTTAGCCAGCACCCAAGGACTGATAGCACAGAGGCCATAGTAGATGTCTGGCTTTGAACTTGACAGCCTCTAACTCACTCAATCCTCATTATAACTCTACAAGCCAGACAGCATTATTACCCACAGTAAGGAAGCAAGGCACAGAGAAGTTATGTAACTTGCCTGAGGCCATACAGCAAGAAAGTTCCACATCTAAGATCCAAAATAGTCAGGTCCAGCACCAGAGGTTCTCATTTTTTTTTCCCTGTAAGAAGGATTTTTTTCTCATCTTTTTTTAAGTAAAGCACACAGTGTTAATAATGTAAAGCTTGGTGAATTTTACATATCTATATACTTGCATTTACAAATCTATATGCCTGTGTATTCACCACCCATGACGATACAGAACACTTCCACATGGAGTGAAAATGTTCCTGTGGGACCCAGGTAATTTCTCTCTCTAAAGGCAAACACTGTTCTGGATCCGATGCCCACAGACTAGCTGTATTTATCCTCCACCTTCCCGTGTGACTGGAATGCAGTAAGCACCGCCTCGCGGCCAGCCTCTGTCACTCAACCTTACACTTTTGGGATGCATGCATGTTGTTCCCGTATCCATAGCCCCTTCCTTTAGGCCACAATTTTCATTTCCATCCTCCTGTTGCCGGACTTTTGAGTTGGTTCTGGTTTTCAGCTAGTATACAGTTGCTGGCAACATTCTTGCTCCTGTCTCTTGGTGGACATAAACATCCATTTCTTGAGAATATACCTAACAGGGAAATTTCCAGGTTATGGGATAAGAATATGTTTAACTTTAGCAGATACTACCAGCCAGTTTTCCAAATACACACCCACTTACACCCCCACCAGCAAGGGAAGCGTCCCGGTCACTCCATATCCTCGCATCACTTTGCATTTCCAGTTTGAAATGTGACCATCCTGATGGGTATATGGTGATTCTATCACCAAGGGTTTACTTTGCCTTTCTCTACTAATGATGTACCTGTTCAATTTTTCCTCCCATTTTTAAATTGAATTATTTTGTTTTCATGTTGACCTGTAGGGTTTCTTGGTCCACTGTGCATATGCGCTGTCACATAGACAGATCATGAATATGTGTTCCCAGCCTGCACTGCCATTTCAGGTTCTTAATGGTTTTTCTTTTCTTGATGGTCAAAATTCCTAGTTTTAATAAAATTCAATTTATCAATTTTTGTATGTTGTCTTCCAGAAGTGCCATTGTTTAAATCTTCACATCATTTTAAATATTTATGCCCATTTGATTTTTGTAGATTCCAGTTCACTGTTAAAATGCCCCCTCTTTGCATGCATTTTGTCTGTCTTTTACTGTTTTTTAACATGTTTATCATAGTTATTTTGAAGTCACTAATCCTACTCCCTGGGTCCTGCTCTGAAGTCTGACCTCTGAACATGCCTGCTGTCTCCACGGAGGAGATGAACTCACACCCCCTCCAGACTTTGTTGCTCCCACGCTGTGTGGCTGGCTGCTCACCTGCACCCTGTGGCAGCCCGGCTGGCTTACCTCGGGGCTCTGTGAGCATGCTCCCAGGAAGCAGGCAGCAGAAGAATGTTGCCATCCACCCTTGGAAATAACCCCAGTGCCATCTTTGCTTTCTCACAGCTTGGGAAGCTGTCTTGGGCAACACCAGGTCTTTAGGGAAAAGTCATTTTCTCCATTTTCCTTGAATCCGCCCATCCACACTGAAGACTGAAAACTCACAAAACTACAACCCACAATTTAAGTAAAATGTTCTTTATCTCTTTAAAATATCCTTAAATTGGCCCTAATGGATAATTAGGTACATAGCATGTTGTGAATATTACAAACTAACTCTGTTCTCTCAAAACAAAGGTAACTCATACACCATAACCAGGTCGCTGGGGTTTTCGTCTGCTTCTGTGGCTGGAGAGCTTGGAGGAATTCTGTAAAGGTTTGTGATTAGTGGCAGACAAACCCCCCGTGTGTGCACCTGAAGTTCATGATGAATCCCTCCAGTGGAAGAACTGGAGAGTGTTTTTATCAGTCTCAATCGCCACAGTTTAGAGTTTGCCACAACGCATAGATACTTCACTATTTCAACTGTACCGATTTTTCAACACCTGACCACGTGAGAGCTGCGGGGGTTGTCAGCTAGCCGCGGGGTCAATGGGGCGCAAGTGCCGACTGAGGCCCTGGAACCGCGGGGCTGCAGATGGGGATGGCTGGGCGCCCCGTGATGTCCAGTGTCCCTGGAGCCTTCCTGGCCTGTCTTCCCCAGCTGGCCTCACGCCTCCCAACTCGTTTCGGCTGTCCACCTGCACACGGTCCTCACACTGTCCCTCGGGGCTCTGACGGGAACACCCTCGGCCCCCATCACCTCCCCTCCCCAGATGCGCTGGGTTCCCAGACCTCCAGGAAGAAGCTGTATCCACCCTGTGCTCCCCTGAGAGGCCGGTCCCCAGAGGAGGGCAGGACACAGATCCGAGGCCAACACAGGTTCCCATGCCTGAGACCACATGGCTCCACCAGACCTGGCTTTGCTCAGCCAGCTGGGTCAAGCTGGCCATCTGGTTGCCCACCCATTTCCTACAGATCTTGCCCCTCGCCCGGCGAGTGACCGCTCCCCTCCAAGATGGGGCTCCCCTCTGCCCTCTCAACTCATGGAGGCACCAGCAGTGCCAAAAAGGGCCATAACAGCAGTGAGGGGGGGCACTGCGTGGAGCTGCACAGGGCATCAGCAGC